AGGAGCACTGGTTGGTCTCATAATTTCGGAGGGGGGTAACAGGGGACCAAAATCCGTCTTTAGAGTAATCTTTATCTGCAATACAGCTGCCAGGTAAATGTGATAGATATTTAAGTTATTCAAGCAATGTAAAATAGTGATATTGCTTTTATACAACAGTTCTACGAGCGCTGTATTAGTTGAAATAAGCACAAACAGATTATGATTTGTTTGTTTATTTCATCATTTATGTTGCAGTGGCAACACAAATAGTTCTGCAAATGGAATGGTAGGGGACTGTTGCTAAGCAAACATACATTTTCCTGGCCTGCATAGTGCACACTAGCTTGCTACTTTGTCTACACGTTACCTCAGGTGTGTGCTAATGTCAACTCTTAATTTCTAGAAATATATTTATCTTTGCAAAGTTTGTTACAATCTAGATGGATACACGGCTGTTAATGTCACACTGATTAATGGTTAATAGAACACCTGTAGTACCTGCTGTAGTGCTGTTATACTCTATATCAGCACTCATGGAATGACTCTCGCCAATCAAATTACTTGGTCTGAAATAACTGTTGTATAAGAATGAACAAATAGCTATTAATAATGTGTTGTAGTGCTGTCTTTGCAAAGCTGTAATATCTCAGTTTGTAGAAAAAAAAAAGCCAGTTCTTCTGTTTTGAGCTTTTCTCCCTTATAACAACATATAAGCACCCCTCCCTTTTGTTTGCCACCTGCCTCTACCAGCCTGTCTGCCTTTATCGCTTCATCTGTTTTCCTATCCGCCGCTTTTCTACTTAAGTGTCGAACAGGAAACCTGCTGAGAACTTATAACCATTTGACCTAGTAAATTCTGTTTGTGTCAGAATACTACGTATGTCACTTTTGTTTCAACCTTTTTTAGATCAATCATATCTACCCTTGCAAATCTATGGTTTCACCTTGATCTTAAGATTTGCAGTACCAAACGTATATTTACAGCCAACTGTGTTACTTGAAGAAATACAAAGGAATCAAATATCATAGTTAAAAAAATATTTATTGAAATAGTATAAAAATAGTTTCTAACATAATTTACAATTCTAATTTGAATGGATGAAAAAAAAAACCACAACAATCCAAGCTGCAATCATGCAACCGATAGAGATTTATCATTCTCACATCTCTCACACTCACAACATACACACACCTCACACACACACACACACACACACACACACAACAACACACACACACACACCCCCAACATTCAGATTTCACTCGCCCCTCACAGCAGACAACAGCGCAACAAAACCAGTTACCATCAGTAGACGTTCATTGTTTACATACATTAGATGGAAGTGCTTTGGGGACTAATTACACATTATTTACAATACATACACAAACATACACACAAACATCTGCTCTTTTAAAATTTCAAGCCATAAATATGGTCAAAAAAAGATCTCATCTTTGTTTGTCTTTTAAATAATCTGTGGGCCCTTCAGTGACTGTGGAATGAAATATATACGTACAGCCGAAATTCTCTCATAAATAAATAAATAAAGTCTGTGACAAAAACGCTCATCGAATGTGAGAGAAAGAAGTCACAGCAATAATAAATATTGTTATTATTTACAATTCTTGTCCCACC